GTCTAAGCACCGTCCCAACAAGACAAAGTTCATACTTACACAAAATGGTACTTATAACTTACTGAATGTAATATTTTAATGGACAGAATATCTGTTGATGTGTTTTAGATGTACCTTTTCTTGCATGCAGGAAACACTATGAACATAAATAACATGTTATTTTTTTTTGTCTTTTAAAAAAACAAAAAAATAAAACCAGTAACCGTGTTTCATGTGTAGCACCTCAAAGGATCTGATCTTGACAAACTGCAAGGTGCGAACTGCCAGGGCTGCCAATCAGGCACAAGATTTATCTAACATCAGCAGCACATTGCCAACCGTTTGCTGATGCACACAAGATGCAGATTTGGGTCATTAAGCAAATTTATGAGCGAAGCAGTAAAGATAAAAGCAGGGATACAGTTCTCGCAGGTGTGCAGAAAATGAGGCGAACATGTGGATAGGTATATCTAAACAGTTTACAATAATAAAAAAAATATGGTAAACTTTAAACATGCAGTTTATAAACATCATATTCAGAGCAGCATTATTACTTTTTTGAATAACCTTTTCTTTAATTTGTTTGTTTGCCTTTCTTTTTACATATTGAAGTACAATGGATAAAACAGAAATGTAATTTTATGTTTAGAGCTTGTTATCCTCAGAAAATCTAACTTTGGGAAGTGTTTGGGAATTTCAATCTGAAAAACTCACAGAAAGAGAAAAGACAATTAGGAGAAATTTTTTGAAACAATTACTTTGTCTTTGGCGCTCCGACCTCGGCAGGAAACATAACACTTAGTTTTGATAGATATGCATAAACAGGAGCAAAGAATAGGGCTGGATGGACTAAATTACCGTCAGATTTCTCAATCAGACAACAGTTTGTTGGTATTTTATGCACAGCTCCAGATTTAAGCAATTTATAGTTAATAGGTTGAAAAGCACTTCTGGTATGAAGATCATCAGAAGTTTTAAGATCTTATCAGTATCTTGTGGTTTGCAGCTCGCTTCTATGGACTAAAGAACTTTAGAGAAGTCCTATAAAAAAGGAGATAATATTAATGCTACTGAATATTTTCTTCTTTGGTCACAGTGCCTAGTTTTAACAGCCAGGGTGTGAGCAGTGTCCCCGAGGCCATAAAATAAACCCAAGTCTACTCAACTAAAGCATCCAATATACATTAACAGAATGTGTTGCAGAGTAAAAAGAACCACAATGGCAACTGCGACTTTTGTACTTTTCTTCAGTTGCCATCAATAGCCTGAAAAATGCTCTAATGTCTCTGAGCTTGAGTGGGATCTCCGAATTGGTCAAATGGCCACAGTTGGATTCTCTTACTTTGTGTCTTTAGTGATCATATGGGGATAACCTGTCCTAGTCCACCTGGAATTTGACAGACTGCTAAGCACAGGTGGTTAGAACACACGCACATACACCTCCAGAAGATAGGATCTCAGAGAAGCAACTCAGCCTATTTCACTGCAAATTAGGTTAATCACGCTCCAGAGAGGCCCAGTTAATAACCCTCATAGAGACTATTAAGATGGCACCTAAATCATAGGACTATCTGGATGTCTGATGCCCCCTCCCATACGTGGGGGACATACTTTGCCCTGGAGTTCTCATGAAAGCTAGTTCTGAGAGCAAAGAGTCGGGTCATATACAGTTCAACAACAGCAGACCGCTGATGTCACTAAACTGTTTTGAGTATTTAGCGGGTCTTGTTCATCAAGGCAGTTATATTATCCCGAATTAGACCATTAGTCAGATACAAACCACAATTTGACGCAGGGCTAACACAGCATATTAAGCACACGCTCTCCATGAATACTGATATGAGGACATAGTGTTCATAGTGTTCATATTATCAATGCTTGAGTAAATCTAATATTTATCCAGATAGAAATGTTTAGACACCACAGGAATCAGTAACCTCTTTGGGACATCTCTACTTAAAATGAAGGTCCTTGGGAAAGGTAAAGGGTGTCTCTGCCACTTATATTATAGAGACACAAGAATCTGAAGCCCGATAGCATCTCCTGTGTGTTGGTTGGTTGAGGGGAAGCAAAAACTGTGACGTCCCTGAAAGATTTAGTGCCGAGATGCAGAGCCTGGCAGAGATTAATAGTGGCCAGCAAACTCAAATTATACACAATTACGGACACTTTCAACTTGGATCACACATGCATTTATCTTCCACTGGGAATATTCATCATGTGCATGGAGTATATTTTACAATGAGAGGGGCACAAAAAGATATAAGACAAACGTTGCTCACAAACAATCATTTTCTTGGCAGTTTTTACAGCCTGCAGCCATATTTATATCTGAATAATACAAAACAAATACCCCATTTAGAATATTGAATTAGTGTAAGTGCTGAAAGAAAACATTATTTTCATTTAATTGGCAGGATGAGAAAACCTATTTGTGTGCTACAAAAATACAAATGATCCTCCATATATAGCTTTGGCATTATTGTTTCTGTTGAGTATATAAACATTCAATCATTTTAATGAACAGATGTTTACAGTTATTGGCAACAGCAGTAAAGATTAACAGAAAGGCTAAGAGAAGCATCTGTTATTGCATTATCTCAGATAGAACGTTTGAGGAAAAAAAAATAATTTTATTTCAGTGTGGGAACAAATCCACACTGAACAAGAATTATCATAGAATAACTGGCTGGCAAAAAAAATGTAAAAACAAATGATAATTAATTAAAGTTTTTAGTTAAGGCCAATCAATATTTGAATTAATGATATGATGCCCTTTAACGAAGTTTATACAGCCTTTGAAGGCAAAAATGGCTGAAAGTATCAAAGATCTCGCAAAAAGATCTAACCTCCAGAAACATTCTCATGCTTGAATCTGGAATGCCTCCTACAGTAAGTGATTGCATTAAATGGTTGATATGCTGAACCTCTGACCCCCTAGAATTAATCTTTATCCTAAAGTTCTTTAACAGTATACTAAAGTTTTTCCTCCTTTATCATCCTATTGTTCTTGCTTGATAGCAATTGGGGTCCAGCATTGACTTTGGTACTAAAACATGTATTGTTTATTCTTATAGGCCCATCCCCCATCTGATGTATATATGTATTCAAATTGAAGAGTTAGTGTCAGATAATGAAGCTGCAAAAATGTAAGATTCTCTTTAAATTTTTTTTATATGTCATTAATAGGGGTTGCATATACAGTCTCAACATATATCTAAGACGAATTATAAATCACCTATTTGTTCGTAAAACTCTTGTATTTAATATTAAATGGCACATAAGATTGTTTTTACAGTAATAACAGCATCATTTCAGTCAGGTAATTTAAAGTATATAATAAAATGTGATTATTGGGCATTTTTGTACTGAGAGTCTCAATAAAGTAGTCACCCAAATACATAATAAATAAGGAGATATCATATAATATCATATTTACATCATATAATAAGCGAAAGGTGTTTTTGATTATCTTTCCATCGGTTCTTTTTTTTTGAGTTTGCTAAATGAGTACTGTTACATTTACGCCCACATATCTCCATTCTGAGGGCAGTTTGTTCTTTATCTGCTCCAACAGGTACAGTTGCTGTTTCCACACATGCTCATAGTTCACAACTCCCTCTTTCCATTGCACATAAACAAACACATTAGGAACAGTAAGATTTTTTTTCCTGGGAGGATCCGTTTACCATCACAGACTGATAATGCATGACAAAAGCAATCGACGCAGGCTTTCAGTTACTATTGGAGACAAAGAGGCTTACAACTTATAACAAGCTGCTGTAGAGATAGCACCAGTTGCCGTTTCTCCAGGCATTTCAACTCTGATGCCACCGCCCCCCCACCTCTCAGCAAGTGCCAAAAAAAAATCCTCAAAAAGGAAAAACTAATCTATTTGAACTTTAGAACATGCCAGATCTGAAACCATTTCATCATCTTATGCATCTGCTGCTCTGTCGACGCCATGCACTGCCATCACCCTGTGCGGTCAGCCTAGGATGTGGGGAGTGTGTCATGCATAATAAATATAGGGCATGGAAAGGGGTAGGAATTAAATATGCCAGGCAGGAATAAGATTTGGCGTGTGGTAACAGAACCTGAATAACATTAGACTGTTGCTCATTTAGGAACAAACAATTACAGATACTTCATGGAAGAATTATATGTCAAATTTTGGCTGTTGGTTGGAAACTTACTAAGAAGGCTAACCTAAAAAGTATGCTTTTCATCTTTTTCATAAACGTAGGAAAAAGTGTTATAGAAAAATACCAAATTAGAAAATATTATCAGTTCAGTCAAGGCAAGGCAAGTGCCTTTATAGAGCATATTCCAGTAGCAAGACCATTGAAACTGGTCAAATCAAGCTTAGAGAATCTGCTTTAGTATCATCCGGTGAAATACTATTATCTACCCAAGTTAAAATTAGGTAACTGAACTGCAAAGCAAAAAAAAAAAAAAATACAAAAATAAACTTTTAAAGCACAAACCTCCTCAATATCAAAATGTTTAATTTATTGGTAAATAAAACAATATATTTACATAAGGGTAATATTAGTCACCTTATAATCACTGAATCACATAATTGCATCTTCCATATGTTGTATCACAGTGAGGTGGAGCTGTCAGGGCTAACCTTGCAGCTCTGCGCGCGCGCTTTCTTCTCTGTCCGCGTGTGAGTCGTTTGAGCCATGCTGTTGGCGCCCCCTAGCGTCCTCGATGTGAACCTTTCAAAATTGTTTCTTCACAAAAACAATGTTTACGAATAAAATAAAAACATAACCTGAAATATTCTTATAATGTTTCTACTTTTTCTGTTTATAATATTAATAATGATAAATTTCGAGTGGATTTTTATCGACGTTTGGCTATAAGTTGCCATGGCGTAGGTTTTAAAACTCAGACTTGCTGTGAAAAGAGGTGTCAAATTTTGTAAAGAATGTAAAAAGACGGTTTAAAGAAGCATTTTGTGACATTATTAATCCCGACTTTTATATTTTAATTTCCCAGCAAACAGATCTCACCTGCGCGCAGCGCTCCTTTTCATCCACATCTTATCTCGGCTGCCGAATCCGCCTCAGTCCTCCAGGTACCCTCCCATTTGGACGGCTTTCCACCAAAGTCTGGGGGCAAATTCTGGTTTGTAGAGACAAAAGCACTCAAGTAACGGACCTTACTCCAGCTGTCAAAGCCAGCATGGTCGTTTTAAGCCATATCCTTCAACGTGGCGCACATCGAATTCCTCCAAGAAGGCGGACAAATCCCACTTAAAAAAATAAATAAAAATGCCAAAACAAATGTCAGTTTGCTCAGAACTTCTTCATCTGTTGTTCTGTCCTCTTCCTGGATATTAATTAAAAGCAAAGGCGGACAGGTGAGCAGGTGCCCTCAAACTTTGCCTCCCCGCAAAAGCATTTATAGCTTTCCTCCATCGGAAAGAGCAAATATATAAGGTGCAGGGAAAAGAGGGCAAGTTGTTGGCTTCTTCATCACTGAACTGACAGCACGCCGCTTACATTTCTGAGAGGCAGATGGACGTCCAAGAAAAAGAGAGAGAGAGAAAAAACACTGAGAGCGGATGATAAGGATGCACGGAGGATCCAAGTCAGCAGCGCACGCAGGGGGTCCTCATTATCTCCTCACATCTTTGGAGGTGTTAAGGGTTGAGGAGGGGTTTAGAGAAAGTAAAAAAGGATGAAAAGAAATGATGGAAAATAGGCGCAAGTGAGGAAAGGAGGAAGGAGCGCGATGAGAGAGAATCCTGGAGGATGAGGAGTTGGAGAGAGAGGGGGGATGAGAGCTTGTCATTACAGAGGAGAGGAGGACGGTCCGTCTCCTCCTGCTGCTCCTCTTCTCTCAGACTGACGAACGACCTGCCTGCCGAGCCCCACGTTGTCGTGACGTCACTTTAAAGCCAAATATGTCATGTGCCAGAGCGCTGCGCTTCATGTAGGAGCGCGCGCGCACACATGGCGTGTTGATGGAGGGCAGAGTTGCACTTACCTGTACAGGTGTCAGCATGACTGAAGTGTCATTTGTTAGGGAAATGCATTTGCAGCTTCATTTTCCAAAATATTTAAGTTTTTTTTAAGTCGTTTAATGGGATTTCATCTGACAGGCCATCCATAAACAGCGCGTAATGGTTAAGTAGAAGCAAAATGATACATGCAGGTAAACTATTCTATAAATACAAATTTGAGATTTGTAAAAATATGTCAGAATAGCTCGGATTTAGTCACTGGATGGGTTATATCTGTTAACATGAAATGTTCCTGTTCCAATCAGATTGTACTTCACTTCCATACAGAAAGCCCATATTCTTATCTTCAGCTACCACAGTTTACATGTCAGATTAAATAATACTACTTATCCAAGAGCTACTTTATTGTATCTCTTATACTATATCCTTTGTTGTTGCATTTCTTTGCAGGTGATGAAGCAGACTGAAGATGTTTAATCGTTATCTCCCTTTTATCTCCCCTTTCTTACTTTTTCTCCTTTTTTTTCCATTGCAGTGTCCATAAAATCTGTAAAACTCCCTTCGTGAATTATAATAAAGTTATTTATATGCATTAATCAAGCAGAACACTATGGCAATAGCCGTACTGCTCCACTTGTGAAAGTAAAATCTGTTGGGCTCTTTTTGGCATCAAGACAATTATTCTTATCACCACATCGCCAGACAGGACATTGTTTAAAAAAATAATTATAAAATAGATAAAAGTAATAAAAAAAATAGATTTTGCTCAGTGCTTTAACTGGATAATCTTCCACAGTAATATATTTTGTTCAAACTAATCAGTTGCTTTGTCTTTGCGTTCATGTTGGTGGTCTTGTGGAAAGATTAAAGTAATTTGCAAGCTTGGAATCAGATTAGCTTCCATGTCTCCAAAGCATAATGCCTCATCACCACCCATGGGTGATGTGGACTGTTATCCCCAATGCAATATTTTGATCATATATTACAGGGCAGCAAACTACAAACAGGAGTCCTTTTTGTCTTCTTCAAAAAGGGCGTCTCTGCAGCTCCTCCAGGAGAACCTTATGATGCCTTGACTGCTTCTGTGATTAGTGCACTCTTGTCTACCCTCATAGAAAGAGATTTTAAAACTTGGAATGTTGTTTTATTTTTTTAAACTCCTTTCCATTATTTTTTTCCCTGTTTGGTGCAAGGATTCTTAGAACTCTGCTTGTTAGTTAGGCGACTTTTTGATGCAATTGTTTGAACTGAATTTTTTCTGGGTTATAAGACTCTCATGTTATTTTCATGTTGTATACTTTTTTATCAGGTTTTGTAATGTAAAAATAAGTGTTTATGGGTGTAATAAAACAAAATGGCGAACATTTCAAAGGATTAATATTCTTTTTTAAAATCATGTACATTTCCCAACAAAGCAAATTAAGGAAGAATGGGGAATAATTATTTTTGAACTGTGAAGCTTTTTTTTTTCATCCTTGGGTGAAATGAACCTGTCTGTACCTAAAAATTGTCTGATCTGGCACGTTAAAATGGCTGCTGAGAGAAATCTACCCGAAACGTCTGCTCAATGTCATAGCTGACCGAACCTCAAAGGAACAGAGTCACTGCTCTGCTTGTGGCTGGCCTGAGTAATAAACGAAAAAAAAGAAAGTGTCAGAGGACTGAACGTCAGTCATCTGATGACTGTGCATCCGAGGTGAAAGTATACTGTGATGCTACTGCCCTGGGACTGGAGCTGATCAGCCCTGGTGAGGTCAGCAGCGTGTGACTTTTGCTCATCAGGATCAATACGTCCACCTGTCTACTTTTAAGACAAACTTCAATAGAAAAAGAAAGGAAAAGCCATCTTTCATTTTGTGGTGCAATTTTGTAAATCCTTTTACTAAACCACATTTTAAATAAATTTTAACTGAAATAATATTTATGGCAGATAAGGTCTTTAGATTTTTGGCCAATCTAAAACTACTTTTTTTTAATTTTTATTAGAGTCAGTGTCTTAATAATATCGATGAATGTTTGGACTCACATTGATACTTAAAGATAATGTTACTATTACTGTTGAACTTTCTATTGTATGCCTAAAATTTTAGGTGTACAATTAAAAAAAAAAACAAAGCTTTCTGGCATTAATTTTAATATCCAAATTGACCATAAAGATCCATCTGACACAAAGGTACCCAGAGAGCTTGACGCTACCACCACTAGTAAGTTTCAAAAAGAGTGTGCTGTCCTTCTGGTGATAACTGAGCTGTGTTTGGGCCAAACATACCAAGAAGTTTTGACATTAACACATGAAAAAGGGAGATATCATATTTAGAATATAACATGAGATCTATATGTTTTTATTTTGGAGACAGCCGTGTACCAAGTCCAAAAACAGGGAATTTTACTTAAAAATTTGTAAAAGACACGAAACCATCTAGTTGGAGATAATAAAGAAAAAATATTTAGACAAATTGTAATACTGATAATAAATACAAAGAAAACTTGACATACACCCAATAGCCACTTCATTAGGTACACCTGTCCAGAGGCTTGTTAACGAAAATGTCTAATCAGTACTGTAACCTGGCAGCATCTCAGTGTATTTAGGCATGCAGACATGGTGAAGACGAACTGCTGCTGTTCAAACCGAGCATCTAAATTGGAAAGAAAGGTGATTTAAGTTTATTTGAACATGGCATGGTTGTTGGTGTCATATTGTCTGCTCTGAGTGTCTCAGAACCTGCTGATCTACTGGGATTTTCATGCATAACCCTCTCTGTTTACAGAAAATGGTCCAGAAAGAGAATACATCCAATGAGCAATAGTTCTGTAGGCGCAAGTGAGTTGTTGATGCCAGAGGTCAGATCAGAATGGCCATACTGGTTCAAGCTGATAGAAAGGCAACAATGACTCAAATAACCACTAGTTAGAACTAAAGTATGTAGAAGAGCATCTCTGAATGCACAACATGTCAAACCTTGAGGCTACAGCAGTAGAAGAACACACTGGGTACCAATTCCTGTCAGCTAAGAACAGGAAACTGAGGCTACAATTTGCTTAGGCTCACCAAAATTTGTCATGTTGGTTTTTACAATTTATTGACACACATGCAGAATCACATGGAGAACCAAATTTTTTAACGTTTTATTTTCAAAAGCAAAAAAAATCTGGAAGCGCAGAACTGCAGGAAGTTTGTTGAACTTTCTGGTTGGTCTGAGGGAAGTAAGTAGACTGATCAGTAAGGAGTTGGTTGATGAAAACTGATGACTGACTGATTTGCTTACTTGAGAGATGAAGGGGAGGTAGCAGGGATCTGTAGTGATTTGATTAAGCGGGCTCTGCATACTGTTCCCCAGATGTTCAAGAGAAAGTGAGTGGGATCGTTTAGTCTTGGTACAGTACTTACAAGAGACGTCGTACTAGAGCGGACAGGCAGATGATGAAGACTGAGAACTGCTGGACACAGGTAAGACCTTTTCCGTGAAGGTCAGAGACAAACTGAGGTCCACTTGTTTGTTGTTTAGAACAATCACAGAGTCCACATTAAAGAGATTCACAAGAAGACAAATTTTATGGAGAAGATATTCCTGGTTTACATCTTTGGTTGAAATACCATCAGGGGTATAGAGAGATGATCCTTTGTCTTATACACGCTAGTCATCTTGATGGAGAAATTTTCTCAGGTGTGCAGTAACACGGGTCGACCCAGCCACCAGCAAAGATCCTCTCTGTGACAGGAAGCTCATTCACACTAGACCCTAAAGAATTGGGCAACAGAAGATTTGAAAAATGTTATCTGGTCTGATGAGCCTCGGCTTCTTCTCCAACGTTCGGATGGTAGGGCCAGGATCCATCCTGTCTTAAATCAACGGTTCAGGCTTGTTGTAGTCTAATGGTGTGGAGGGTATTTTCTTGGTACACTTAGGGCCCCTTAGTACCCATTTAGCATTGCGTCAATGCCACAGGATACCTGAGCATTGCTGCTGACTATGTCCATCTCTTTATAACCACAGTGCACCCATCTTCTGATGCATAGTCCCAGCAGGATAACACTCCATGTCATAAAGCCTGAATCATCTCAGACTGGTTTCTTGAACATGGCAGTGAGTTCACTTTGCTAAATGGCCTTCACAGTCACCAGATCTCAATCCAATAGAGCACCTCTGGGATGTGGTGGAAAGGGAGATTTACATCATAGATGTGCAGCCGACAAATGTACCTTATAAAGTGTCCAGTGAGTGTTGGTAGCCTGTCTCAAAGATTTTCGAACAAAAGTAAAAAAAAAATGAGAAAAGTGACTAAAGCGAGATATATAAAAAGATATAAAAAAACATGAACAATGTATCTTTGTCTATTACCCCCACCCTTAGGTTTGCATGTCTTAAAACTGGTGCAAATATATAGAACAGGGGTCACCAACGTGGTGCCCGGGGGCACCAAAGGGCCCTCAAGGACCCATGGGGTGCCCTCTTCGTCTTCTGAAAACAGAAGAACTCACTCAGTGGGTTAAGTTTATTTTTTTTTTATTCTGTTGCTCTTCTTTTTAATAATTTATGTATAATTTCATCATGTTAACTATTTCATCATATTTCAGTGGTTTCAAAATGACAATATTAAAAAGAAAACTAGAAATGAATAAAAGAATAAAATAAGAATAAAAATTTGTTTTTATGGATGAGATTTACTGTAGGTGAACACTGATCCCTCCAATTCATAGGTCAGTATTGGTAACCCTTCCTATGACTCGGTAGCCATGAAGTAGCCCTCAGCCTTAAAAAGGTTTGTGACTCCTGATATAGAACATACTGTAAAAGTGCTTTATGCTGTGTTGAATTCAGCAAAAAAGTAATCCCTGTTGAGA